AAACATGCCCAATGTTTCCACCCGGCCGGGGACTGAACAACGGACACTCAGCGTGTGAGACGTGTTTCCTTAAGACACCTGCTATCCATGTTCACCCATCAATAAAATAGGTACCTGGATGTTAGTTGACTGGTGTGGGTCGCATCCTGGAGACAAAATTGACCTAATTTGCCCGAAATGCTCAGCATATCAAAGGACTTTCTATATAGTAGTATGTCATTGATGTCAGCTAGGACTGTATACCTTGTACATGTACTTGTAGATATAAAGATTTATTATTATTATTATTATTATTATTATTATTATTATTATTTAATTATTATTATTTATTATTACCGGGTTTCCTGGAGAAGTTTCGGGGTCAACGCCCCCGCGGGCCCGGTCCGTGCCAGCCTCTGGTGGACAGGCCTGATCAACCGGCTGTTGCTGCTGGCTGCACGCAAACCAACGTACGAGCCACAGCCCGGCTGATCAGGAACTGACTTTAGGTGCTTGTCCAGTGCCAGCTTGAAGACTGCCAGGGGTCTGTTGGTAATCCCCCTTATGTGTGCTGGGAGGCAGTTGAACAGTCTCGGGCCCCTGACACTTATTGTATGGTCTCTTAACGTGCTAGTGACACCCCTGCTTTTCATTGGGGGATGTGCATCGTCTGCCAAGTCTTTTGCTTTCGTAGTGAGTGATTTCGTGTGCAAGTTCGGTACTAGTCCCTCTAGGATTTTCCAGGTGTATATAATCATGTATCTCTCCCTCCTGCGTTCCAGGAATACAGGTTTAGAAACCTCAAGCGCTCCCAGTAATTGAGTGTTTTATCTCCGTTATGCGCGCCGTGAAAGTTCTCTGTACATTTTCTAGGTCAGCAATTTCACCTGCCTTGAAAGGTGCTGTTAGAGTGCAGCAATATTCCAGCCTAGATAGAACAAGTGACCTGAAGAGTGTCATCATGGGCTTGGCCTCCCTAGTTTTGAAGGTTCTCATTATCCATCCTGTCATTTCCTAGCAGATGCGATTGATACAATTGTTTGGTCCTTGAAGGTGAGATCCTCCGACATAATCACTCCCAGGTCTTTGACGTTGGTGTTTCGCTCTATTTTGTGGCCAGAATTTGTTTTGTACTCTGATGAAGATTTAATTTCCTCATGTTACCATATCTGAGTAATTGAAATTTCTCATCGTTGAACTTCATATTGTTTTTCTGCAGCCCACTGAAAGATTTGGTTGATGTCCGCCTGGAGCCTTGCAGTGTCTGCAATGGAAGACACTGTCATGCAGATTCGGGTGTCATCTGCAAAGGAAGACACGGTGCTGTGGCTGACATCCTTGTCTATGTCGGATATGAGGATGAGGAACAAGATGGGAGCTAGTACTGTGCCTTGTGGAACAGAGCTTTTCACCGTAGCTGCCTCGGACTTTACTCTGTTGACGACTACTCTCTGTGTTCTGTTAGTGAGGAAATATAGATCCATCGACCGACTTTTCCTGTTATTCCTTTAGCGCGCATTTTGTGCGCTATTACGCCATGGTCACACTTGTCGAAGGCTTTTGCAAAGTCTGTATATATTACATCTGCATTCTTTTTGTCTTCTAGTGCATTTAGGACCTTGTCGTAGTGATCCAGTAGTTGAGACAGACAGGAGCGACCTGTTCTAAACCCATGTTGCCCTGGGTTGTGTAACTGATGGGTTTCTAGATGGGTGGTGATCTTGCTTCTTAGGACCCTTTCAAAGATTTTTATGATATGGGATGTTAGTGCTATTGGTCTGTAGTTCTTTGCTGTTGCTTTACTGCCCCCTTTGTGGAGTGGGGCTATGTCTGTTGTTTTTAGTAACTGAGGGACGACCCCCGTGTCCATGCTCCCTCTCCATAGGATGGAAAAGGCTCGTGATAGGGCTTCTTGCAGTTCTTGATGAACACAGAGTTCCATGAGTCTGGCCCGGGGGCAGAGTGCATGGGCATGTCATTTATCGCCTGTTCGAAGTCATTTGGCGTCAGGATAACATCGGAAGGCTTGTGTTAATCAAATTTTGTGGCTCTCTCATAAAAAATTCATTTTGATCTTCGACTCTCAGTCTGGTTAGCGGCTTGCTAAAAACTGAGTCATATTGGGACTTGAGTAGCTCACTCATTTCCTTGCTGTCATCTGTGTAGGACCCATCTTGTTTAAGTAGGGGCCCAATACTGGGCGTTGTTCTCGATTTTGATTTGGCATAGGAGAAGAAATACTTTGGGTTTCTTTCGATTTCATTTATAGCTTTTAGTTCTTCCCGATTCCTGACTCCTAAAGGATTCTTTTAGCTTAAGTTCGATGCTTGCTATTTCTCTGACCAGTGTCTCCCTGCGCATTTCAGATATATTGACCTCTTTTAAGCCGCTCTGTTATTCTTTTCCGTCGCCTGTAAAGGGAGCGCCTGTCTCTTTCTATTTTACATCTACTCCTCCTTTTTCTTAGAGGAATAAGCCTTGTGCATACATCGAGTGCCACCGAGTTAATCTGTTCTAGGCATAAGTTTGGGTCTGTGTTGCTTAGTATATCTTCCCAGCTTATATCGGTTAGGACTTGGTTTACTTGGTCCCACTTTATGTTTTTGTTATTGAAGTTGAATTTGGTGAATGCTCCCTCGTGACTAGTCTCATTTTGTCGGTCTGGGGCTCCTCGCATACATGTCTGAACCTCAATTATGTTGTGATCTGAGTATATTGTTTTTGATATGGTGACATTTCTTATCAGATCATCATTGTTAGTGAATATGAGGTCTAGTGTATTCTCCAGTCTAGTAGGCTCTATTATTTGCTGGTTTAAATTGAATTTTGTGCAGAGATTTAAAAGCTCGTGTGAGTGTGAGTTTTCATCAGAGCTGCCTCCTGGTGTTATTTCTGCAACAATATTATTTGCTATATTCCTCCATTTTAGGTGCCTTAAGTTAAAATAATTTTAATAATCATAATAATAATAATAATCATAATAATAATTTTAATAATCATAATAATAATGATGATGATAATAATAATAATAATAATAATAATAATAATAATAATAATATTAATACAACTACTACTACTACCAGTAATAATAATAATAATAATAATAATAATAATTTACAATAATAATCAAATCATTGTACTTGGATATCCTGAAGACATTAAATATCAATATCCTTAGTGTAGTCGATAAACATTAAACCCCATTAACCAACCAACTACTAAATTGTTAACCCAGATAAGCCAAACAGTGTGGGTTATTTCTGTTACAGCCTTGAGGCCCTTTCCCCAGGATGCCACCCACACCAGTTCAATAAGACCCACGTACCTCTGGTCTCTCGTAGCTCAGTGATAATGCGTTCGGCTTACAGGTGAGTGCTGGAGTGTGCTCGTGGCTCCACTGGGAGTGGAATCAGCTAATACACTGAGGGACCGAGTTAGATCCCCAGACGAGCGAAAACTTTGAGCATGTTTCCTTATTTACCTAACAATAAGTAGGTACCTGGTAGGATTAAAGGTCATTAATGGGAATAAGCCCCAGTCAGATGGTATGGCTTGATTGGGTTATCCTTATTAACCTCGATTAAAACCGTCTCGTGGCCCATTGTTGCTGCTTAACCTTGACCTGTGTTGGCCCCAGCCACTCCTCAAGACCCTCGTCACATTTTCTGACTTCGAGGTGATAAACGTATGATATAGAACGTTTATAACACTGATCATTGCTCTTATTACAGTGGTATGTTTACACAGTATAACACTGACCAATGCTGTTATTACAGTGGTATGTTTACACAGTATAACACTGACCAATGCTGTTATCACAGTGGTATGTTTACACAGTATACCACTGACCATTGCTGTTATCACAGTGGTATGTTTACACAGTATACCACTGACCATTGCTGTTATCACAGTGGTATGTTTACACAGTATAACACTGACCATTGCTGTTATTACAGTGGTATGTTTACACAGTATAACACTGACCAATGCTGTTATTACAGTGGTATGTTTACACAGTATACCACTGACCATTGCTGTTATCACAGTGGTATGTTTACACAGTATAACACTGACCATTGCTGTTATTACAGTGGTATGTTTACACAGTATAACACTGAAAAATGCTATTATGACTGTAGAAAATACTGTATATTTTCCAAAAATATAGTGTATTTTATATGTAAATTGATGGCCTATATTGTAGGTAATAAAAATTAATTTGTAAATAAAGAACCATCGATGGGTGAGCGTCGCTGGGGGAGAGACGCCATTATTTTGAATGGGGTAAAGACACGTTAGTGAAATGTGCACAAATTTTCGTCGCTCTAGGGGTTATATTGAGCTTAAAACCTCTCAAATAGGAGCCGAAATTTTTGGATTTGCAGTCCTACATAACGTGAGCATTAAGCAGATGGACAGGACGGCTTCGTAACCCCAGCTAAGTCATGTCTAATTTGTGTTGAAATTCTGGCCAGTATTTTCTTCATATTTAGATACACCAAGTAATCTCCAAACAAATTGGTGAGTGTTACGATTATAAATTCTCCTTCTGTTACATAAATGTGGATATGTAATCATTTATTAATTTTAATATACAGTCCGCATATTTATATTAATATTTTACCAGAATTTCTGGTGATGTATATTTCATTTGAAATTAATATAAGTCCAGAGTGACTTGTGGATATGACAGTAGTAGGTATCGAAGGAGGACATTTTTTGCGACCTAGGTGTCCTAAAATTCCTACTTGTCTCTGTAACCTTGATAAAGAATAATTATCTTTGTTACTTTTAAAAAATTACTGGTATGTATCTTATGAGTTACATCTAGGTAAATTTAATTTTCCACAATGACAGTGGTATGAGAATGGACCAAGTAGCAGCCGGGAAGAGGCGGGGCCAGGAGCTAAGAATCGACCCTTGCAACCACAATTAAGTACAATCAGAAGAGTACAGTATGAGGTGCTACAGTGACCAACACTGTAGAAAGGTTCACTTTCCGGCCGCGAGGTGGCGGACGAAGTCAGGTGTGGCGAATCGCGATTCTGTAATTCCATCACATTGACTTGCCTGCGGTAAACCCGTAGAGGTCGCACTGCGCCTGCGGGTAAATAAAGTCAATCTCACCACGACGCGAGGTAGAGTAGCTCCAGTACCTCGGATTAAGAGATTATAGGCATATTAATCGGGAGGAATGTCTGGCCAGGCGAGGCTGAGGTGGGATGTATCTGGCTGCTGGCTGAAGTAACTCTCAGTCACCCACTGACCACAGTGGAAGAAGGAATGGTGGGTAAGTGTTGCTCCTTCGCACGGATGCAATACTTGACTGTAATCTTCTGTTTGAAAACTGTGATTTGAAACGAAACCCACTGGTGAAGGATATACGAAGGTGGGAAGTGTGGATGTTCACTGCGGCTTCCAGATCAACGCTGTTATTTCACTCTTAATTAGAGTTTTGAGAGTGGACCAGGTATGTTGTGTAGATGTTGATTGATGTTGGTATTCTTATGTGGCGAGGATCGCCACTGGCGAGTTCATTGGTATGTTGTTCTCAGTGTGTGTTCATGTGTATGTGTACTCACCTATATGTGGTTGCAGGGGTCGAGTCATAGTGTATATGTGTGTGTGTCAGTGTATGTGTGTGTGTCAGTGTATGTGTGTGTGTCAGTGTATGTGTGTGTGTCAGTGTATGTGTGTGTGTCAGTGTATGTGTGTGTGTCAGTGTATGTGTGTGCGTCAGTGTATGTGTGTGTGTCATTGTATGTGTGTGTGTTCATGTGTATGTGTACTCACCTATATGTGGTTGCAGGGGTCGAGTCATAGTGTATGTGTGTGTGTGTCAGTGTATGTGTGTGTGTCAGTGTATGTGTGTGTGTCAGTGTATGTGTGTGTGTCAGTGTATGTGTGTGTGTCAGTGTATGTGTGTGTGTTCATGTGTATGTGTACTCACCTATATGTGGTTGCAGGGGTCGAGTCATAGTGTATATGTGTGTGTGTCAGTGTATGTGTGTGTGTCAGTGTATGTGTGTGTGTCAGTGTATGTGTGTGTGTCAGTGTATGTGTGTGTCAGTGTATGTGTGTGTGTCAGTGTATGTGTGTGTGTCAGTGTATGTGTGTGTGTCAGTGTATGTGTGTGTGTCAGTGTATGTGTGTGTCAGTGTATGTGTGTGTGTCAGTGTATGTGTGTGTGTCAGTGTATGTGTGTGTGTCAGTGTATGTGTGTGTGTTCATGTGTGTGTCAGTGTATGTGTGTCAGTGTGTGTGTGTATGTGTCAGTGTGTGTGTGTATTCATGTGTATGTGTGTGTGTCAGTATATGTGTGTTTGTCAGTGTGTGTGTTTATGTGCATGTGTGTATGTGTGTGTGTGTGTGTGTGTGTGTGTGTGTGTGTGTGTATGTGTTGTGTGTGTGTGTGTGTGTGTGTGTGTGTGTGTGTGTGTGTGTGTGTATGTGTGGTGTGTGTTTGTGTGTGTTTGTGTATGTGTATATGTGTCTGTGTCAAAGAATATGCTTACCAACATAACACGACACATCCACGTGTAATGTCCTGTAGAAGCAGATAGTGGAAATTCATTCCATATAAGGTATGTAAACATCTGAGTCTACCAGCCTTGGTACACATGCCTCATCCCAGACACACACACACCTTTCCTCGGATCAAACATGATTTCCCAAACACTATATGCCCCTAGAATTAATAATAATAATAATATTAATAATAATAAAATTATTATTTATTATTATTATTATTATTATTATTATTATTATTATTATTATTATTATTATTATTAAATGATATCAAAAACTGCTTCAATCTTAGACGAAATTACGAACAAAACAAGGTAAGATGGTGTCAGGAGAACTCGACGAGTTTTTCAAAGCCCCGACCGTCAGCGAGTTACGAAGGCGACAGGTCTAGTGTCTTGCTGAAATATAACCAGATATATCCACGAGATATTCAACATGATTTAGATTCAGGTTAGATTATCTTAGCTTGTGTTAGATTAGATTACGTTATGTTAGACTGGGTTAGGTCAGCTTACGTCATGTAAGCTGACGTCATGTAGGGTACGTTAAGTTGCGTTACGTTACTTAAGGTTAGGTTATTGTCACGTTACGTCAGTAATATAACATTAACCATGGAGCTGAACTCTTCTCCAGGCTGAGGGACTGACCACCTCAAAATACTATTTCTCCAAGGTTGATGGAACTGATTGCATCATCTTTATTTCACTACACATGCCTCTGTATTCGACTGAAGAAGCCTACTGTACAGGCGAAACATTTCAGCAATAAAGGTGCCCAACTGTTGTACAGGCATCTAAATTATCAGGTTCCAGTGGGTATTGTAGGACTGTGGTTCGCCTCTCACTAACTGGTGCGATACAGTGGTTACAGAAACCTGTCGGCTACGTAGCCTGCATTCCCTCACAGCCTCTGGGGCTACTGCTGGTGCTGCTGCTGTTCCAGTTTTTACTGCTGATGGGGTCTGGTCTTTGCTGGATTCTTGTGTGTTTGATCCAGTACTGTTACTGGTGGATCCAGTACTGTTACTGGTGGATCCAGTACTGTTACTGGTGAATCCAGTACTGTTACTGATGGATCCAGTACTGTTACTGGTGAATCCAGTACTGTTACTGGTGGATCCAGTACTGTTACTGGTAGATCCAGTACTGTTACTGGTAGATCCAGTACTGTTACTGGTGGATCCAGTACTGTTACTGGTGGCTCCAGTACTGTTACTGGTGGATCCAGTACTGTTACTGGTGGATCCAGTACTGTTAATGGTGGATCCAGTACTGTTAATGGTGGATCCAGTACTGTTACTGGTGGATCCAGTACTGTTACTGGTGGATCCAGTACTGTTAGTGCACTTTTTGGTGTGGGATCTTTGGCCTCCCTCATTCCTCCACTTATTTACAGAAATTACTTGCTGGAGGACAGTGAATCCTATGTGTTACTGCTTGTAGCCAAAATATCACCGTTTGTAGCTTATGTATCACTGTTTTCAACCTATGTATCACTGTAGATATGAAAATAATGAGGAAGGTGATACAAACTGAAGAGGACACAGGTAGAGGCTGGAAGAGGAATTGAAGAGGAGCATTATTATTTTTATCTCAGAATAGCGAGTGCACAGTGAGAACTAGAATAAATGGTGGAGGCAGAGACAGTACACAGCTCCGAGACCAGGTGTAATCCGACTCTGAGGAGCCTAGAAATCGACGAGACAGGTCTCTCAAGGAAGGTTCAACCCCTGCAAACACAACTAGGTGAGGACACACACACACATAAGACTAGCGACCAGTGAAGAGGCGAAGCCAGGAGCTATGAATCGACCTCTGTAACCACAATTAGGTGAGTACACACACACACTGTAGAGTATGTACACTTAATAGTGTGTGTACTTCCTTATACATACACTGGGTAGTGTGTGTACTTTCTGGTACGTACAGTAAGTAGTGTGTGTACCTCCTTATACATACACTGAGTAGTGTGTGTACTTTCTTGTGCACATTCTCCTGTACCCAGGTTTGTTTTGCTACCCAGGAGGGCAGTGAACCTGCCCAATTCACCGTTGCTTGTAGCATATTGGGCAGGGCAGGTGTGTGTTGACACAGGGCCCCGTCCAGCTAAGACTCCTTGCATAACTAATATCCTCTCCGGTGTCTCGTTCAGCCTTTGAGGTTTGATCCTACGTCTGGTGATTGCGTCTGGCCTCTTGGATCAGTTAGGCTATTGGTATAGGTGTGAGGGATGTAATCACGCAAAGACTGTGTTGAGGCTTCTCTCTTATTTTTTAGCGGAGTGCTACTGTTTCTTATGTGTTCTGTGTTTTCATGTGTTATGTGTGTTCATGTGTTATGTGTCTTAATGTGTCTCGTCTAGTATTTGTTCTCGTATCTTACGTTTCTCGTGTAGCTCTAAATGAGTTCATCGCTTGTGTTCATCTCTCCTGATCTCAAGTTTCCATCTGTCACATTCGGTCTCTCACAAGGGTCTCATAAGAGTTTTACAAACGGGTCTTCACACGAGTCTCTCACAAGGGTCTCTCACACGGGGTCTTTCACAAGGGTTTCTCACACGGGTCTCCATCTCTACTCACTTCTTCAAGCCTTGTCAAGATAACCGCGACTTACTGTCAGAAGGACTTTTCAAACAAGTGCGCACGTCTCCGCTCTTACTAAATCCTCATATCCTGAGAAATGTGTTCCCCGCAGAGTGTTATCATGATGGTGTTCTCCCTCCTCTCCCACCCCCGTCCTTCCCCTTCCCTTCTCCTGCCTTCCCAGTGTTTATCAAAATGTTACCTGTCTCATTGTGGGAGTTCTTGTGGCCTTATCCAAAGTGTTATCAGGATTCAAGACTTCTTTCATTCCCCTGTCAGGTCTTCTCAGGTCTTCTGTCCATGGGGTCGTGAAGGTCCCTTTCTCTCTAGGTCTTCAGGACCACGATATGGTCCTCCAAGTTTCTTTCCTTGTTCCTTTTATTCGAGTTTGTTTTTAATAAATGCTCTTGAGGCTCCTTTGAATGTCGTCTTCGAGGGCCCCTTATGACCTTTTTCTAAGGCTTCTTCCATGGCCTTTTCCGAGATCTTCAGCACCTCTTCTGTTATGGAAGAGGAGAGGAAGGAGAAACAGGAGAAAGGAGCAACGGCAGCAGGAGAAGGAGGAGGAGCAGCAGCCTCAGGAGAAGAAGGAGCAGCAGGAAGAGCAGGAAGAGCAGGAAACCCAGAAAGCCTCTACAAGGGAAAGCCTCTCCTCACTGCTCAAGCTAAGTTGCTTCCGTTCCTGCTACCCCGTACTCAGCAGGTGTATGCTGATCCCTGAGCAGGTGTGCTGGATGGTACGTACCCACCATGGTCGCTGGGGGACATACGTGCCCACCACGGTCGCTGGGGGACATACGTGCCCACCACGGTCGTTGGGGGACATATGTGCCCACCAGTCTCTGGGGGACATACGTGCCCACCACGGTCGCTAGGGGACATACGTGCCCACCACGGTCGAGTACAAAGCTTTTTATTGTCCACAAGGGTGAAAATTACACCTACTGAGATTCTCCACCATCATGCCTCCTTACAGAAAGTGACTATATGACGGAGAAAGTGACCATACACCAGAAAACGTGACCATACCCCAGAGAAAGTGACTATACCACAGAGTAACCATACCCCAGAGAAAGTCCGTACCCCAGAGAAAGTGACCATACCTCAAATAAATTGACCGTACCCCAGATAAAATGGCCATACCCCAGACGAAGTGACCATACCCCAGAGAAAGTGACCATACCCCAGAGAAATTGACCATACCCCAGAGAAAGTGACCATACCCCAGAGAATGACCATACCCTAGACAAAGTGACCATACCCCAGAGAAAGTGACCATACCCCAGACAAAGTGACCATACCCCAGAGAAAGTGACCATACCCCAGAGAAAGTGACCATACCCCAGAGAAAGTGACCATAC